TAATGTACATGGATGTATTAGGGCATCCACTATATTACTAGAAGTGAAACTTGTTGCTAAGTTATGCGATTACGGGCTTTGGTTCTTGGCATCCAAAGAGAAGAGGGGGCTCAAGGGTTATGTAGATGATGAGTATTGGGTTGATAGAGGAGGCGATGCTTGCAAGGAAAGCGATGTTTATGGTTTTGGGGTGGTTTTGTTGGAGCTTTTGACTGGGATGAGAAGTGGACAAGGGTTGCTTGTTAGATGGGCATTGCCATTGATTAATGTGAGAAACTTCAGTGAACTTTTGGATCCTAGACTTATAATTCCTTATTATATATAAAAGCTAAAAATCTATATAAAAAAGATGAATTGATTTGTGACTATAATTTCGGTAAATTCAAATCGAACGAAATAAATTATATTATTTTTTTAAAAAAAATTACTCGTCATAAAAAATAATGTATAGCGATTTCACATCTATTTAACCCATGAGATCTTTGTTATCCGAACAGATAATAATCCATTGGTAGATCGGCTAAAGTGGCTTCAGCTTGTGTTGGTAATTACAGAAAGGACACGCCTCCTATTTCTCAAGTGGCAACCATTTTGACCAATTTGGAAATTGAGGCCTGTCATTAGAGTATTAGCTCCATTTTAAATCTTCCAAAGCAATTTTGTTATGAAGTCTTTAATTGCCAAATTGGAAATATTAGGTTTGTTTTTGACATTGCTAATCAAAAGGTTAAATCAGATTGTACAAACGTGGGGTGTCTACAAAATGGGCTTTAGATATAGTTGGCCGATGAAGAGGAATTTTGTAGGAAACATTGAAATGAAACTATCAAACAGATGGGAGCGGGGGCTTCCCCGGCTTGTCTTGTCGTTGGGCGGTGATTAATTAATTGATCTTTGTTTCCATGTGGAAAATTGGTGATCTTTTTGGTGGTGAAAGGGACCCTTTTCTTTGATTTCTTTCAAACACTACTTTATTCTGTTTACCCCTTTTTGGCTCCATCATTTGACCAATATTCGACTAAAACTTATAGTTGCACAATGTTGTTTATAAAATTATATTTTTTCGGACCCCATATTCTCTTGACTAGACTTTTGATTCTCCCTTCCAATTATTCTTGTCCAAAATATCCTATAGTTTCATTAGACTCTGCTTTCCTCGTCTGTTATAGTAGCATTTTATGGCTAAAGTTTTGTTCGAAAATAATAATGTAATTTCCATGTATATACAGCATTCTTTTGTTCATAATTATCTATTAAGTCCAAATTTTCTTACTATTTTAAGTTGAAAATTGTGGCAGAAAGCAGTGGATCTAACCAATAGGATGGAGTGTGGATGCTCATCAAAATATCTATTTCATGATTAAATTATTCATAGTACTATATATATATATATATATATATACTTGAAGAAGAAAAATATATAAATGGTCAGCCTCTGGCCGAGGAAGCTCGAGAAAAAGTCAAGGAAAATTTAGATCCAGAGCAGGCTTAGCCCGAGTAATATGCCTAATAATTAGGGTCCTGGCCCATTTAAATGATGGAAAAGTTTTCTTTTTTTTTTTTTTAAATATTTTTAAACAACTATTGGTATTTGAATTTGAAACCTTCTTCAATAAGGGATTCCAATATTGAATTATGGTTCATTGGTAAGTTTTTTTATTACTTGATGTTAAAAGATTTTTTTCTTTTAAAATTAGCAATGAGATATATAGCTTATATTGAAAAAGAAAACATAAGAAGATTTTTTATTATTTAAATGTCAAGAACATGAATAATTTTTTTATAATTTTTTTTGATCATTTATTAATATACCTTTCTAAATCAGCAATGAGATTGAAATTAGCTTCCACATATCCAACTTTCAATTTTTTTTTTCAAAGTGACAGTTTTAGGAATAGGAGAAGACATTATAAATGTTAAAATTCGAATTTCAAACCTGTTAGATATCGTATCTTAAGACTAATTACATAAATTAACTGAATTAAGTTTCGAATTTAATTTATTGATTAGAAGCATCACATAACAAGTTACCTTTTGTGACTTATAACATAAAATAAATCCTCATATGTAGAAAAGATTAAATTACTTTCTAGGTAAGTAGCAAATAATACCATAAAAGCTTATTAGGTAAGTAACAAACAATACCATAAAATCTTATTAGGTAAGTAGCAAATTAATTAATATATTCTTGTTAATAAAAAATTTTTAGAAGCAAATTAAAGAGAAAAATTTAAAAGAAGATTTTTAGGTAAAATTCGTGAAGTTTTTTACTAGAAATGATTAAATAAAAACTAAAATCAAAAATCAAAATCAAAAGATTAAAAGATCTCATTACATAAATTGTGTAAATTTTGAAATATTTTTTATAAATTTTGATATATATACTTTTAAATAGATATTTTTAATAAAAATGTTAATAGAATTTTTACAATATCGATCAAATTTGAATTATAAACAACATTTTTAATAATTTTTTTATATATTATTGATTTTCACATTGAATTTTATCAATCTATCAGTTTGGATTTTTTATTAAAGTTTTTATTAAATCATTTTTAAGAAGTAATTTAATAAATTTAACCTAAAAAACTTTATATAAGTTCTATCCCAAATTAAATGCCATTGGCTTAAATAATCATTCATTTTTGCAAGTCAAAGTGTTTGAATGTCTTTTACATACTAGAAAATTCATTCCATTTCAATCACTCAATTTGTATTATCCCTTGGTATAGTCCACAAGAAACACAGAAAAATACAAGTTGCAATCAATCATATGATTACTTCCATTTCAAAATTAATTAATTCTTAAAATCATGGTCTAAATCATTCCTTCACCATAATGGAAAATACTAAACACATTCCCAATTCAAAAGAAATATTTGGAACTAATATCTTTTCTTCATTATACTTTATCTCATCGTTTTCAATATTAAGACACATTTTTCCTTGAAAAATATAATGTAATGTAGTGATCATACGTATCATCATCATTAACCATGATTTTACATTGAATATTTGAGTTTAATTAATGGTATAGTTCATTATGTTTGTCAATCATAACTAACAAAACGGTGCATACAACATGTCAAAATCACTGAAAATATTGGCTAATTAATACTTTGCGCAACTGAAGGGCTAGAAAAATTGTTTGTGAAAAAGTTTGGAAGTTGCAAAGAGGTGGTTGATTCCCCATTAATTGAAAATAGATGACTTTGAAAGAAATGAGCTTTCACTCTCGGTTTTGAATGGAAAAGCTGTGAATTCTGATTCTTATCCCTAAACTTGGGTTGTCAATTAGAAAAAGCTTTATATGAAATTTTAAAGTTCGTAAAATTTTTTATGAGAAATTAACAAATTAAAATTAAAATTAATAGGTTAAAAGATCTTATCACATAAATCAAACATGTAAATTTAAAAAAATTTTATATATTTATTGAATAGATATTTTTAATAAAAACATTGAAAAAAATTTTACCGTTAAGTAAATATTTATTACATTTAAATTATAAATAATATTTCAATAAATTTTTTATATCATTGATTTTTACATTAAATTTTATCAATATATCATTTAAATTTTTATTAAAATTTTTATTTATTTATTTTTAATAAAAAATTTCACAAACTTCTTTATGAAATTTTTTTGTAAGTTTTATCTTACGAATTAAGCGTGGTAAACAAAATCAATCGTTCACCTGTTTGATTTTAAACTACGTTTTCATTGGATATATAGTTTTTAATTTCTTTAATACTTTCTTAATCTGCCAAACAAACAAAATTATTTTTTTTTTGGGTGAACGAAGGTATATGGGAAAAAAAAAAAACAATTTTGAAACAGGAGAAGCACATCTTGACAAAGTCCTAAAAAAACCGTAAGTAAGCCATAAGAAACAGCATAAGCTTAATAAAGAAGTTTATTCTTCTTGTTGCGTGGCTTCTGAGAGAAGCTCTCAAACTGACATAACATGAAAGATGAAAATGACCATTAATGTTATTCATGTCGGCTATGGTATAAGTTAATTACGTACAGTATTGTGATTTTCCAGGAACATACGTACTTTTGCACTCCCCTACGATTGTTCACCTCTCACCCGTTTGATCAAAAACTACACCATCAGATCATCTTTGGTGATCAATATGACGTTTAAGAGAGAAAAACGTAGTTTCAGAATCGTGCAGGCTACTGATATATGATTTCATTATCCAAAATTTTCTTTCGTAACTGCTCATTGGGGTTTACTAATTTTTTCTGATGTATAATGTTTTAAATTTATTCAAGAGCTTTCTTTGAAAATTTTTTTCTCTTATTTATTACGTAATAATTGCAAAACTAAAGGACAGTGCATATACATATTACTGTCACCAACTTGAAAAATGGTGCAGTTCATATGTTACACGAAAAATATACTAAGAATGCTACATTACATTAATCTCTTATAATTATGGCTATAGGAGGAATTGTCAAAACCATAAATATCGAAACACTTTAATTAGTTGTAAACTTAATTTCAAAGTGAAAGAATTAAATTTTAATCATTAAAATTAAATGTTTAATATTCAAAGAGAAAATCACATCATTATTGATGATCAATATTGATAGTTGAATCGTATTTTTCATGTTACATTAATATTGTATATTTCGCAATGTATATTTTTCATAGCTTTAAGAATACTCCAGATTTGACAATGGAGCTAAAAGCTTTTTTTTTTTTTTTCCAAATCCCCATCTCTGTCTTAAGAGGTAAAACGTCCTGGAAAGAATACCTGCTTGCCTCCTCGCCACTCAGCTCTTTTTTTTTTGTGGTTTTATTTTTAATTGTCAGTTATTTTAGTTAAACAAGTGTAAATCCTTCTAATGTTTAGACCAAGCCGAAAAGCAAGGTCTAACGACTGCATTTGTTCTGTCATACATATCGTATATACAATGGCATAACCAAATTGACTTGACGTCCAAGTAACATGCATCATAAGTTTTTTTATTATGATTCTGAAAAAATAATTAAAATGAATAAATCCCATTCTTTCCTTTCTTTTATACCCTTCTTTTAACCTTCTCTCCCTCTCTTTTTTCTTTGTTTACCAAGAAGGAGGAGTATATAGCACACAGCAGCTGCTATCCTGTACCCTCTACCATTAGCAGAAAGTTTGAAGGAAAAAAAGAAGAATAAAAAAGCGTGGAAGATTTAAATTCCTTTGCCAAACATCAAGCAAAGAAAAAGTGGGTAACTGAAAACGTGCTCTAATTTTATTTTAAGACAAGCTTTGCTTTTGTTTTGGTTTTGTTTTATGTGTCAATCTTGCTAGAATTTCGTGTGCGTGTTCGAGAAGTAGGGGAAGAAGATAGAATCAGAAGTCAGCTATGTGATGGGAATAAGATCAACAGAACCAGAGAGATGACATGGTGCAACAACCCTAGCGATGATAGAGCTCTACAGTTAGTTACAGCAGCAGTCACTAAAGAACCCTCCGTCTGCGTCGTAGCCCCCACCACCGTAGCCGTTGCCGACTCCAAAATCCATGATATCCCAACCATTATTTGCCCTTCATGTGGCCATAACATACCCTACCAAGATCAGGTAAACATTTTAATCATATAATTTACTCTCTAGTTTTTTTTTGTTGGTTATATATATATGTAATATTCCACACTAGTTTGATACACTAAAATTTCCGTGGGGTTAGGCCGGAATTCATGATTTGCCGGGGTTACCAGCAGGAGTGAAGTTTGATCCAACTGACCAAGAAATTTTAGAGCATTTAGAGGCAAAGGTAATATCTGATTTGCGCAAGCTTCATCCGTTGATTGACGAGTTTATTCCAACCCTGGAAGTAGAAAATGGGATTTGCTATGCTCATCCAGAGAGGCTGCCAGGTACTTTGATGCTTTAATGTTACAACTATGCTTGTCAATTTACTAGCTTTCTGAACTTAGGGGTTTTCTTCGACTGCTTTTCTCTTCAGATACATTAGTTTTTCATTACTTTATTTTTAGGGCTATAACAATGATCTGTGTTTTTTGGTTTGGGCACTATCAATGATCTATGTTGGTAGATGAATTTGAGATGAAAACGTAAAAACTTACCGCATTTTTCAGAATCCAGTTAAGTATATTGTAAGAAAAGTATCTAAGTTGGCTAATACTAACTGCCGAGGATATTGCTGGTGTGTAGTGTTTCTTGGGTGGCCTAATCATGTGAGATCCTTTGGTTCTACTCAAAGCCACATATTTTCTGAGAGACATGTGAATTAGTCTAGCTTAACTCCAGGATATAGGCATTGCCCTTCATCATTCCATGATCTTAGTAATGTTTTCTAGTTTGAAAGTTGTGTTAATACCGAACCTCATGACTGGTGAATAGTCAAAGTTAGGATGACCTGATATAGGTTTTCTAGCCATTGCTTTAAGTGGCCTAACAGCTTGTCTAAAAGGCAATGAGTGGTCAGTAATCAAATCAAGTATATCTTATTTCCATTCTGATTGAATTAAGCTATGCACTCTAATTAGTTTCATGCATAAAACCAAATCCTTTGATCTGTTCACAATTTAATGGTGCAGGAGTGAGCAAAGATGGCCTAATCCGACACTTCTTTCATCGACCCTCCAAGGCATACACAACCGGGACTAGGAAGAGAAGAAAAGTTCACACGGATGACGATGGAAGCGAAACAAGGTGGCACAAAACAGGCAAGACCAGAGCAGTGTTTGCTGGTGGGGCTGTAAAGGGTTTCAAAAAGATTTTAGTACTCTACACCAACTATGGCAGGCAAAGGAAGCCAGAGAAGACAAACTGGGTGATGCATCAGTATCACCTTGGCAACAATGAAGAAGAGAAAGATGGAGAGTTAGTGATTTCAAAAGTTTTTTACCAAACTCAACCTAGACAATGCGGTCCAAGTAGTGTTAAGGACAAACTTGATAGAAAGCTGAAAAACCGAAGCCGGCATGAAAGTCCTATGGCAAAGAGTACTAGCACCCCGGCTCTTGTTGACTATTACAATCCACCTTTTATTTCATATGATCATGGGAACCATCATAATAGAGAAAGCCCACCTCAGCTAATTCCAAATTTGGTTGTTCAAGGTGATGGATCCACGTTTATCCGATTAACCTCTGATACAAGCAAAGGAGACTTGACAGAAAATAGCAATGGAAAGATCAGCATTTGGTAGAGCAGCTACGTCAAAGACTTATTTGGTTGGTGTTGTTGCTGTTGCTCTGTAATAGTCATATAAATTATCAGATTGTGATATTCCTGAGGAAAAGAGGGACTGAAAGAAAAAGGTGAATGTCTTCTTTTGTTACCATTAAAAGAGTCGGATGCTTTGGAAGATTTGCCCATGAACACGCTCTTGAGCAAAGGACTAGACAAGGCAGCTGGTGCCCTATTTTTATACCCATTTGCTTAATATTTATATACATATATATATATATATATTTGACCATATTTTATCAATTTATAGGGTTTGATGGCACTTATAGCAGGACTGTACAAAGATGACTCATATAAACTTCAACTGGTAGTCCTACAGGTTTAATTTGTTATATCATTTGCCATTTATTATGTTTCAAAATCCCTCATGATTGAAAAAAGACAATTGTTATCAATTCTATCATGGTTTTTTTTTTTTTTTTGGTGTGATTGTAAATCTGAATTATTCAAATAGGATTTATTCTCATCCCTTTTCTGCATATTTGAATATTTGAAGAATACTTGTATCGTACTTGTGTGAATTCTTTTGGTGATCCAAATGAATTACTAGCTGATCAAAGGGATAATCTCAAAGAAAGACATACATACGCGAACATGTCATGTAATTGTGTGAATATGATAGTTCCCTTACCCTAGAAGGTGCTAGAAGAATGGCGTAATAATGACCAACTTGCTTGCATCTCAATATCTATATATTTCAAGTACTGGAGATCACTTGAGGATTGGAGATTAAAAATGTCGAAAAAGTCAGGCTTTAGCTGCCATTATTTTATTGATAACGCGTTTTCAACTACGAATGGAAAAACATTCAGCAAACTTGTCACGAAAGGAAGGTTGGAATTTTAGTCAAAATTCCTAGTCAAAAACAAAAGAAAAAATATAATATTTTGGCCATTAGAGAAACCATTATGCTAACCCTCTTCGAATCAAGCACATTTTTTTTTTAAAGAAATGTGAAATTAAGTGTTGATCCTTCCTATCATTTGTAGTTTTATTTTTCTAAAAAATAAAAAATAAAAATTTGCAGTGAGGATGATTATACAGAACAAAAAACTTAATCCCAATAAATAACACCCTTTACAAAGGAGGAGATTAAGGGGATTTAAAATCACGAAACTCCATTTCCTTGCGATGGAAGAAAATGCACAGCAGGAAGGTAAATACCTATGGCGGTTCTCTTGAAGAGGCCAAAGAAAAAAACTACAAAGAGTTTAACATCAATCATCTGTCAAAGGAGACTTTTCTTAGCGGTCCTCGAGAAAGAATCATAAAAAATTTGCATCAGCTACAAACAATTCAATAACTATCTACTTTTATAAGATGTTGAATATTTTTAGCCAATAAACAAAACTCAATGTTCCCAGAACAAAAAGGACATGCAGGAATTCTCTTTTTGAAAAATCAAATTAGAAGAAAAATAGTAACGTATGTTCTTGTCTTGCAGACAAAGCAATACCAAATCTTTCTTATTTCAGGATTTAAGAGATGAAAAATACAATAAAAATTGAATATTCCTTCAAATAGGGTTCGGAATTTGGATACAATCTGAGCTGCAAAAATCACACCGTTGAATAATTCAGGCAATCAAATTCACATATACATATGCATATATATAAGACAGACAAACCTTCTCCCAAAAGTATTTAAGTCATTTTTAATCAACGTTGCTGGACTCTAGGGATATTCCAAACTTTGGACTAACAGAATTTCTAGGATTTAAAACTTCACCTAGGCTCATAAACTCATAACTCTATCAAGTAAAAATAGATTAAATGCCCCTCTATATACAAGTCATAAGTAAACTGAAAAATCTGTTAAGATTTCTGCAGAACACATTTTTCATACAGTGCGAGGATTTCTTTCTTATTTGCATTCCTCAGCGCAAGCAGCTCGCCACCAAAATTATGCTTCGTGAGTTCCTGCTTAAGTTTTTGCACTGTGAACTTGGTATAATCCTCCTGATTGTGTTGAAGATTCTGGTTGTAATCATCACCTTTGAATACTGACCTGCCATCTTCTGATTGTGAATACCTGAGGGGGCTAGTCGTGCTCCTGGGCTTCTTATTTGCTCTCAAAATTCTGTCACTTGTGTCCATATCTTGAACAGATCCCACCCCCATTTCACAATCATCTGCCCTCAATCGCTTTCCATGGGAAGCAGTTTTCAGCTTACTGTCTAATGCTGTTTCATTTAGACGAACAGAAGTCAACTCTTGCTGGAGCGAATCAAGTTTTGCCTGTGCAGCCTGTAGCTGAAGAGAGAGGGCTTCAGCCCTGTCATTTGCATCTGCATGTGCTGCACGTTCAGAGTCTAAAAGATCTTCAAGCGCTTTAACTGTACTAGCCCTCTGCTCATTATTTGTTTTTAATAATGACTCTATCTCTCTCTGCCTCTCTTCAACTCTAGCCTCTAACAATGCAACTTTAGAAACCGCATCCAGCTCTGACATACGTACTCTATGTAGTTCATCCTCCAAGTCTGTTTTCTGTCTCACTAAGTTCTCAATTTGCCTCTCGGCCCTCTCAATCTGAGCCAATCTTTCCATTGCCATCCTCTGTATCTCACTTTTCTCCTTTTGAGCAGCTACTGATTCTGCCCGAGCTTTATCGGCCAATTCTGTTGCCTTCTTTGCTTCTTTCTCAGCTACTCTACACCTTTCTTCAACTTCTGCAAACCTCCTGAACTCGGATGAATACTTCTCCTCCAAATGGATCTTCTCTTGCTCCAATATCTTTGCTTCTCTCTCAAATGACATGGCCTCGGTATTAGCATTTTCTAGCTTATCAGCTAATTCCCTGATTTCAACCTTTAGCGATGATATCTCTGCATCATAACTCCTATTTTTTGACTCAGCAGCCTGCAAAGCATTTCCCATTTTTAAATACTGCAATCTTTGCAAATGCACTTAATCAATAAAGAATGTAAACCTACTAATCCAGTCAGGGTTACGATCAAATGCAGTGGTTGAGTGAATTATCATTGTAATCATAGTTAACAATTCTTTAAGTGATCATATTCCAAAGCATTACATGGAGTATGCATAGATACACATGCATAATTATATATCTACATATATAATACACTAACCTTCAACTCTAACTTTAGAGTCATCAAGCACTGCTCAGCTTGCTCAATCTTTGCTGACTTGTCCTTTATTTCAACTTCCTGCAATGTTTATCAGCAGATAAAAATCACATTCGTCCTGCATCTTACATCTGCATGATACATGATTGTGAGAACAAGAATGTGTGTGTAAATGTGAGGTGAGCAAGAGGGTACCTTCTCTGCCAATGTATGTGAAAACTCTTCCCTCAGAGTATCTTCCCTAAGTTGAGTTTCCTTGCTTGTTCGGTCTTGCACGATTGCTGCCTTCTCCAAAGCAGCTTTTGCCTCTCTAATGGCAAAGTCATACTTTCTTTTCCACTCCTCTGCCTCCTCTTGAGCAGACTCAGCTTGCTCCCTCGCAGCAGCCAGCCTTGCTTCAGCAGCAGTGCTACGGGACTTGAGCACTTCAATTTCTGAGGTGGCTTGATCTTCTTTGGCTCTATGCTTCGATAACATCTGATCATAATTTCTTCTCCAGTCTAATGTTTCTTGCTTGGCAGCATCCAGTGCTTTCATTAAACTAGAACATCTCTCCTTCAGTGAACTGTTATCACCTTGCAAATTATTCATACGACTTGAATACTCATCGGCAAGCTTCTTCTTGTCATTGATAGCATCATCATAACGCTTCACATATTCAGATTTATATTTCTCACTATCTTCCAGTTGCTTTTTAAGTAACTTCATTTTATCGTCAATTGAACGGCATTTCAATATAAGGGAACTCCTCTCAGATCCAATCTGATCTATAACTCTCTTCATGAAATCCAGTAATGGCCCCTCCATACTGACAGTTTAATAGGATAGACAATGAAAGTTAATATCCAAACTAAAGACTTAAGCCCAGCGCAGTTGGTACAACCCTCTTCAAGAAAAAATAAAAATATTGATGCAAACCTCTGTTGTAAAAAAACAGCCAGTTTCTGCCATTTTCCAGGGCCATGGCATGAGGCTTCATACTCGGATAAAAGTGCATCAAGAACCTGCATATATAACATTCTAATAAAACCCAGTAAAAGGCATTCTATGGAAAATACCATTACCACATAATATCTCTATAACTTGTCTTCATAGATATTAAAAACAAAAAAAAAGTAACTTTCCATAGGGTCAACACGAAGGTAATTAACTATGACTGAGAAGGACAGTAAAAAATAGACAACTCCACTCAAGTTGGTTGATTAAATAGCCTTCATCCTTATAATTTTAGTGATGTAAAATCTAAATTTGGAATATCATCTCAAAACAGCAGTTAATGAAGAGCAAAAAAGTTCTGGAATTAGATTGAAGTCCTTAATATGATGGATAAGGGCAACTAGACAATAATTACCTACCTTCACAATATTATCTATGCCTGCATCAGAAGCATGGCATGCTGCTCTCAACCTCTTTCCCATGCTATGTATGGCATTTGAACATTGCAAATCTGCTTCCATAAACGCATTCTTTTTATAGTCCTGCATAAATGACCAATCCTGTAATTCAAGGCTTACCATGCATTTTGATAACATAGAAAAAACCACTTAACCTATAGATGTAGCCTTTGAGTAACTGCATACCTCAAAAGCCCTTCTGAAGAATTTCTGTAGAAGCTCCTCATATTTTTTCCTCATTGAACCAACCCCTACAGCACTAGCATTATAGACAGCCAGTGATCTTTGAACTGCTTCTTCATGAGCCTCTCTCAATGACACCTAGGACCAGCAAGATTAGAAATGATAAAAATTTATCTCAACAACCGCACAGCAATTAGGATAAAAGCATCTCTTACTTCCTCCGGTGGCTTTGAGCGGTCGAAAGTTGACATATAAATCTCCGCAGCAGAATCATATGCCCTTTGACACTCAGCTTCTTCAACACTCTGAACGAAAATAACACCAATATGAAAAATGAGGAAATTCTTAATTTTTTTTATGCTGTGTAGTCTTTTTAACTTTTTTCAGCATCTTTTTTTTATATATATATTTTTTATTCCATTAAATGATATTCCAGGTAGTATTTCTCGACAACAGTAACTGACCTGCCATGAGGAAGATATTGTGGGCACTGCACCATTATTCAACGCATCCAGGTAAGATTCAGTGATACCAATAAGAACAGGACCCGTCATTAAAGTAGCCCCAACCTGCTTTGGCCTTGTTCTCTCAAAAACAAACTTTGTCAATGCATCAAGCCCAGCTCGAAATTCAGGTCTCAGTTTGTCAAGCTACATATGAGAACTAAGGTTTTAGTAAATAAATGATGCATTCAAAGCAGAAAAGGCACAATCAAGACTGAGAGTGCAAGAAAGAGAGATGGAAGGGCAAAAAAAGGATGACAGAGAAAAGTTAGATACCAACCAAAATTTGATCAAGCCTTTGGAGATCATTTTCATTGTTCAAAGGCCTCACAAGGGGAAAGCATTCTCTATCAGGAAATAGAGCTCGAATGGAGTCTCGGATCTATCAATAATTAACCATGCATAATTAGTACCTCTAACACACAGAAGAAAACATCAAATACTTTAGTTCTTCACATCCTTTACAATAAACATTGGAGAAATGAATCTCTAATCTTTGAAGAGAGGAATACTATTAGGAAAATACTAAGGACAGTCCTCTTATTAGAATCTATGGTATATCTAACTTCAGCCAATAAAAATTATTCAAAGAGCATCAAAATTTACAATATTAATCATTAAGACACTTTCTTTTCATCATACCTCCACAGTATTGGTATTGCTTTCTTTTTCTTCCCCAATTAAAATCCATGTTAAGAATTACCTCATTTTTAGCAGCAATATCTTTCCCACTACCTTGAACTGGCCGTAAAGCAAGCTCAAGGTATTCACGGGGAGTGATTTTCCTATTATCCTCCACCAAATCCAGATAAAAATCCTGCAATTAAGAATGGCTATTTTATAAAAGAGAACTAGAAAAAGTACATTTTATAACTGATAGAAAGCTTATGACATCCATGTTCAAGAAAAAAAATGTAATAATCAATAATAAGACAAGTGTGTTCTGTGTCTGTGTGTAATTAAATATTACCCTAAGAAGCCAAACAAAGATTGGGGAGAACTGCCCAAGTTCAGAAGCTGTGGTTGTTCTTCCTCCAGCTTTGACTCGGATATGTTTTGTCATTTGAGTGACAAGAGAGAGACGATCCAGGGCAGTTTCATCTATACCTCCCATCTAAATATCAGAAATATACAGTCAAAACTTGGGGAGAATGGTGGAAAACCTTATTGACAACCCACTCAAAGGATAATGTCCCATTAAAAGAAGGGAAAAAAAATAATTACCCACCTGGTTGTAGATGAACATACTAGATAAGAGGACAGCTAAGGAAAATATCTGAGTGCTGTATGTTCCCTGTCAAGTTTGCAAGACAAAAGCATAAGCAACTCAACCAATCAAAATAACCAAACTGAAACATAACCAAAAGCTTCCCATAAAAAAAGCAGGTGAAATCTAACCGTTTGATCATAGGCATCTATTCCTTCAGTATCTAATAGCAAAAGATTGTACTCAGTTCCATCAAGAGCAGTTCTCTTTAACGGTGCACTCCACAACCAAAGCCCTTTGGTACATGGTCGATGCGTTGATGCTACTTGAAATCCACTACTCCTTCCAAGAAGCTACAACAAAAAAATGAAAGCATAGCCACCACTCATAGGTAAAAGAGACTATATACATCAAAATGGTGATATAAAGCTGATCTCCATACAAGCTTAAATAGGGGAAAATCATACACAAGCATGTAATATTTAACTGTGATGCCAAAGATAACTCACCAATTGATGCTTTCAAAGATTGAGAATAAAAGGAGACATAAAAAGTTAATCCAGCTCAAATCTTGAAGAGTATAAACTTTATCTGGTCAGATTCAGTTCATAAGAATAAGTTTTATAATAACGTTGCATATAGTGAATATGTTCATGTTAATCACTTATATAATTTTCTCTATACTCATACTGGCTTATAAGTCATAAACTCAAAACTATAATTACCTCTATCGATGTTCTTTTGTCTAGCAAGCATACATTACCCAACCTCATTAGTTAAGCTCCACTCAAATGCACTTATATGAACTTAAATTGATGTTGACATTTTCCTTTTACAGGTATAACAAATGAAGGCTTCTAAAAATAGAAAATTCATACCAAAAGGGCCTCCAATCAATCACAATTTCAACACTTGATCTCTCTAAAACACTAAAATTAAAAAATTTTCTACTCCTAAAGTCACAAATCCTAGACTTTATTATTTCACCTAGCAAAACACCAAAAGAACATAAATTTACTCCAATTTACCTTCAAAACAAGTAAAACAAAAAAAGAGATGAAATTACCTGATTTAAAATGAAGCTCTTGCCCTGACGAGCCCGGCCACAGACCGAAACGACTCCAATTGGTTCCTTAACAAGCTGCAAAGCCGCGACGGCTTCCGGATCCATCCGGAACTTCCCTTTCTCATCGCAGTACAACAACCGAATCGGTCTCGCGGGACCGGTCACCGGAGATGCCGACGCCGACGAAGGAGACGCCGAATGACCTAACGATTGCGGTGACACATCATCGGCGGAGCCTTTTCCTCTACCCAAAAATTTCATCATCTTTGCTCAGATCCTCCGTGGTTCAGTTGATTTTCTCTCTAATTTTCTTCGCTTTGTTACTTTAATTATCAATTTTAGAAAAAAAATCGAGCCTTTGATTTTACAATGCTTTATTGGTTTTTCCACTCCACTGAAAAAGAGGTTCAAAATTGTGGGGGGGAAAAAGGAATCGAAGCGAAAGGGACCTTTGGGCTTTATTATAGGACACGGAGAATGGAGATGTAAAATTCCGCTGATACACTTGATTCTTTTGGTTATCGTCGGTGTAGAGGAAGGGTGTTTTGGTCCTTTTGTGACGATTTAGTCTCATAGCCTGAACGACAGCGTGGTAATAAAGCTACTTTATGGACTTTCTTTTTTGTTTTTTTAGGACTTTATTCTTTTTATTTATTATTAGGGTTATCAGCGGAATTTTCTTTCTCACTTTATCTCTTTAATTTGCATAATAAATCAAAATTTAATATTTAATTGAAGGAAAATAAATAAAAAAGACATACCAATAGTTACTTTTTGTCTCAATTAAATTGTCACAAACAACTTCTTTTCATCTAAATTTTTTAACTTTTGATTGTTATTATTTTAAATATTTTAATCAATTAAATTTTACAAAATATATATATTTAAATTAAAGTTTAAAAAAATATAAAAAATAAGAAATTAAATTTTATAATTTAAATATAAAAAGTGAAAATATGATAATTCAATTGGGATAGAGAGAATAATTTTTAATTATTTGATAAGTTTAGTTGTAATTATTTAGTTTGAGAGCAAACGTGGGAGCCATGTACAGTTGTCATTTGAAAGTTTAAGTAACAAAATCTCACTTAGCTTATGGTTCTCTCTTTCATTATTCTTTTTCTTTTGTTACTACTAATAAATATCTTTGATTCTTTTTCTTGTAGCAAAACAAATCAAACATAATTACTATTGTTAGTATAACAACATAAATAATTTTTTTCCTTTGTTTAGTGTTGTAGACACCACAATCTGTTTAGAGTTTTGATTATTTTTTATAGAAATAAATAATAAAAAATAAAAATATTGAGTTTGTATGAAAACTGACTATTTGAATTTGAGTTAAACTTAAAAGTTGAAATTGAAAGAAAATCAAAATTTATTTCTAGTTTAAGATTCTCAAACTTTAAATCCTATAAATATAAACCTACATGAAGCAGCATAAGACACAGAGAGAGATCGAAGTAAAATATATAAGAGAAAGTAGTACCAGGTTTTGTTTTTGGCAAAAAAAATACATTTGGGTTCTCGAGTTAGGAAAGTTTGATTTGGGATTGAGAGAGAGATCTAGTGTTAAATTTATTTATAGAAAAATCTAAAAAAATTTTAAATTCTAGTGAAACTTTTCAATTTTCAATGAAGATTCCGACGAAGTTTGAAGTTTTCGATGAAAAAATCCATATTCTTGCGATATTTCAGTGAGTTTTGCAAATTTGACAACTTTCAGATACAGGTTTTCATAATCTGATGAAGACTTTAACTTATGTTATTGGGTTCTAGAGAGAGAGAGAGAAGAGAAAAAGAGAGAGAAAAAAAAATTTTAAGAAAAAAATTATTCTTTTATAACGTCTCAAAACGATGTTGTTTTTGCCTTAAGTAATTCCAGGATCCATGCATTTTATCACCTGGGGACCCAACTTGTAGCACCGATGTGCCTTCGACCTGCATCCCTATCATTGGCTCGAGCCTAGCCAAGTTGTCCCAACCGCTTCCTCCCTGCAGTCGAACCAAGCCTATTAGTTGTCTACCCAAGCCATTCCTATTTTTAGTGTATTTATTTATATATTTATTTATTTATTTAGCTATTTTATTTGTTTTTTGGTATTTTACATGATTAAATTATATGAAGAATTGAAAAAATATAAAACAAAATAAAGTTTTTTTTAAATGAATACTAATTATCTAATAATGAAATTTTTAGAAATTACAAAAGGTTCATTTTTATAAAATTTTTAAGTGAGAAATTTTTTTAGATTTGTCCCAAATGATGAAATAATTTAGATAAAGTTTTAATAATAATAATTAATATTTATTTTCAATCTAAAAAATAAAAATAAGAAAACACAAAATTTAATAAAAATTTTGAAATTAAATACTAATTACCCAATAATGAGATTCTTAAAAATTTTAAATGGTATATTTTTTAAGAAATCTATATGTGAGAAATTTCTCTAAATTTATCCCAAATTATGGAATAATTTAGATGAAATTTCAATAAAAGTAATTATATTTTTTTCAAATAAAAATATTAACAATATAACTTAAAATTTTTGGTTGAAAATATTTAATAATTATCTAAGAATGAGAATCTTAAAAATTTCAAATGATAAATTTCTTAAAAAATTTTTAGGTGAAAATTTACTTTAAATTTGTCCCAAATTATGGAATAATTTAAATGAAACTTTAAAAAAAGTAATTATCATATTATTTTCTTTCCAAAGATCAAAAAAAAAAAGAGAATTTCTAAATAGACCCAAGTGATGAAAATTTTGGAAATAAAAAAAATTTTCTAAATAGGCCCAAATAGTAAAAAATTTATAAATGAAAATAAAAAATAAAAATAAAATTCAATGATAAAATTCTTAGTAATCACAAATGGTTAATTATCTAATAAATTTTTAGATAAAAAATATTTCTAATTTTGACCCAAATGGTGGAATAATTAGATATATTTTCAATAAAAACCAAACAAAAATAAAAAAATGAATATTTTTTGATGATTGAGCCTTATTAAGAAAATAAATTGGATTCTTGAATACTCTTGAAGTGAAAAAATATTTTTAAGAATTCTACCAGATGGATAGAGAATTTTAAAATGTATTTTTAATATTCAACATTAAAATTTACGACTTTTAGAATCAAGACCTTAAGATAATTTAAAACAAAATGGTACCATCTTTTGGATGGGCATGTGGGGGTATTACAGCCTACTTCATATGTAACCAAAATTTCGAATCATGTTCTAATTAGTAAATTAGTACATATTCTTTTAAGATACATTAGTCAAGCTTAGGAGCTCCTTAAATGATAGATTCATTAAATGGCCAATCACCCATAAAAAAAAATATTAGTGGTGACTCCCTCTATTAAGTCTAATTATAAATTTTTGAATTTATATGTTATGATAGTTTGACGACTCCACTGGGTACAACTATAGAGAGTCAGGCTATAACATTTTAAATTTATCATATCTTTTGATCTAATGGTTTTAAGTGTAAAGATTGTGTTATTTGGTTACTAACATTTTTTTTTTGTTTCTCATTTGACCTATGGAGGTTGAAATTATATGTTCATTTACACACATTATCACATGTAATTGCATTACATGAGCTCTATACCCAGGCTCCGTCCTTCTTAGAAGGGAGTAAAGTACCTACACTCTTGTGAGATAATAATCTCCGTAATGGCTAGCAAAATACTCTCACTTAAATTGAATATTTTTCATTGGTAGTCTATGATAGGTGAGAATTGAAATGCTTTATTAGTTTGTGATAGACAATGATGTAAGAAATAATTTAAGAACCTTTAGTGGTCAAAATCACTTAGCCCAACATATAATTTACACTTAAGAGGTCAACCTTAAGATAGTGACCTCTTTACCTCTTGATAGACTTAACCTAAAGTTATTGATAAATCATATCTCATTCCTACATCTATAGAAATGTACTAATATAAAATGATAGCTATGTAGCAAATATTAGTATATTACATTCATGCATTAAAATACCGAACATAAAGCATAACATTTCTAATAATAACACAATTATGGTACTCAAGATTCAAAGATAGCCCACCAAGTAAGAACTCAACACAATCAACTCATCAATACAAAACAATAGCTCAAGCTAGACAAATGAAGTAGAAAAATTTCAATCATCTTAAAAAGATAAAGAGAGGTTAAGAAAAGCTTGAAGGGGAGTTAAGTAAGATTCTAGAGGCTTTGAACAACTTAAATAAAGAGAATGTATATAAGAAAATACTAGCCAACAAGACCATCAATCACAAAAGGTGACTGACCCTCTATATCCGTCCAGTTATGGGCCCACTACAATAATTCACACACCCTATAAGGTATATATACTCTAAAATGCCATCAGTTTTAAATCCAGGGCATTACCAAAGCTATATAAATCCTATCTTTATCAAAAAAATAGTAAAACCAATCTAGGTCCCTGATCTAAATGATCTAAAAAAAATGAGAAAGAGAAAACAAAAGTGGTAAGTCGTTGAAAAACTCAATAACAAATAGAAAGATGTGAATGTTGGAAGAAAGGTTACGAGCAATAAAGGGAATTGGTTTTTATGGTTCTGTAGATGCTGCTGGGCTCTGTTTAGTCTCAGATTTTGTTATTTCTCCAAAGTTTAAAGTATCAAAGTTTAAAAAATATGATGATACAAAGTGTCCAAAGATACACATTATTATGTACTATCACAAGATGACAACCTATGCTATTCATGAAATGTTATTAATGCATCTATTTTAAGATAACCTTATTGGCTCTACTGTTAAGTGATATGTCTAGCTGGACAGGACTCGTATTCAGTCCTGAAGTGATATAGTTTGTGACTTCATCAGTCAATATCGATATATTATAGATTTAGCTTTTGATTGTCTGTCTTTACAAAATATAAAAAAGAAAGCAACTAAATCATTTAAGGAGTATACCCAGAAGTAGAGGGATATAGCTACTTAAGTTTAGCCTTCTCCAATTGAGAAAGTGGCTATAGTATTGTTTGTGAGTACTTTAAAATCTTCTTATTATGAAAAGATAATAGAGAATGCATCAAAAAATTTTACCGACATGGTAATCTCGGGTGAAATCATTGAAAATACCATTAATAATGGCAAGTTAAAAACAGAATAAGCTTTCACTAAGAAAACCTCAAAGAAAAAAAAGACTGAAGCTCAAGCTATGAAATTTAAAAGACAACAGTTCAGGGGTTAACCTTATCTACCATAAGGTTACTCTCCATACTATCCTACTATGAATAATACTTCACCTTACCCATACCAGCCAACCCCACGTCATCTTACCCACCAATATATCAATTCATTTTTAGACCCTAAGCTCTTTTATATAGTCTAAACATCCAACCTCCTACAAAACCCCAAATTCATCCTGTTAACCAAATAAATGGTTCATAAGAGCTATGAAACACTTGAGAAAAATTCATATTTGACCTAATCCCCATGACTTATATGAAGTTATATCAAGAGCTCTATAATAACTTCTTAATTACCCCTAACCGTCTGGAGTCGCTCAAGCTATCTTATCCCAAATGGTATGATCTTACA